CCTTTAACAACAATTACTTTCCTCTGTGATGTATAAATATTTAGCAGGGTGTGAAATTAGCTGTGACTTGCCCCACTAATCCAATTGTACTCAAAACTCAAATTTAGAGGTGGAAAAAAATGTGTTTGGGACAGAGTACACAAAAGTAAATTCTCAAATGGGCTAAGGCCTGGAAATATTGGCACTGCGAGGCTTGTGCAGGGCTGTCCCAAAATGTGGAAATCAAAGTCCACCCAGCCATCTGGCCGGGGGTCAGTGGCTGGCAGTGGCATACACGCTCTCGAAAGCTTCAGGGTCCGTGCGAGTGGTGGATTTCACAGTGCTCCTCGGAGACGGGCTGACGGTGAGCAGAACCTAAAAAGCCCAGGGTTTTGTCCGCCAAAATATAGGCGCGGCGCTGGAACTTACTGTCGCCGCTGTCCTCGTTAACGTTTTTTTAGGGCGCAAATCAGCCAGCACACCATCCGTCCAGCCCTGGTTTCAGTGTCCCGCTGTTAAAGTTCTCCTTCATCCCAGTCGTCTCACCTGGCCCTGCCTCAGAAAGCTGCCACTCTCTCACTGTCCCTCTGGAGCTACCCGGCGGCTCCACCCCCCTCTTTCCTCCGAAGCTGACTCCTGTGATGGAGCCTCGCCACAGCAACAGCCTTGTCCCCCAGTGACCTGACAGGAAAATAATTACAGCTCAGGGCAGTGTACTGTACAAGAACAGGCCCGTTTTGGACAATTGGCTCTTTCTGTTTTGAAGTGGGTGCTTTGGACCGCCTCGTGTCTTTCTCTTTATTCCCGCTTTCAGGCCGGGATTCATTACACTTATAAAACAGCATCTCAGGACCTTTCAGCAGCTCCTTGGCTTTATCTCTCATAGTTGCAGCTTGGTGACTGTTAATATCACCAGGCCTAATCCTCTGTCTGTGTTTCAATGTACATTTTGACTGCCCTGTGCACCTTCCACTGCCACAGTTTTCCCTGCAAGACTCAACCAAAGCTTTTTCCAAGGCGTCCGCATGCCTTATGAGTTGTGTATCATCAGCTTCTGAAGTGCCGAAAACTCACAACTGGATGTTGAAATGTTCCTGTCAGAGCGAAGCTGCGTATCAGTGGGGTTCATTGATTTTACAGATGTGTTCATTTGACAAATAACTTTTTTTTTTTTTCTTTCTTCAAGACTGCCAAGTGCTCCGCTGACTTTTGGAGTGTGATACTGCAGATAGTCCAGATGCATTGTGGGGGTTGTCCCTTGATGGCCTCAGCTAAAGGCTGCAGTTTGCTTTATACCATGTGAGAGACATTTGAGAGACGTGGCCAGATGCTTTGAGCCGGTCAATAAACTTAAACACTGCCAAATGTTCTGTGGCATGTTTGTGGACTTTAACAGGTGCGTAATACCATCCACTTTGCTGTCTTAAACATAAAACTTTACATAGTCCTACAAAAAAGGGCAACATTCATGAAGCTGGTCATTTCATTGGTTTTTATAGTATTGCCACACATTGTTGCCCATTATAAAGACACCTGATTGGCACTTAAAGTATATTATCTGTGTAGAGGGAATCAGTAAATTTTTTATGAATCACTTACTGGAGAGGCTCTATTTCATGCTCTAGTTCAGGAAGCTGGTTTAAAAAATGGAAATATTTCACAAGTGAATACAGTTGAGGGAAAAATGAAAGATAACCACTTTCATCCTTCAAACAAACCACCTCTTGCGCTCCATTGGAATGGCTTACCGGTAGCTCCTGCAATTAAAATAACTGAGGATGAAAGGCTGACTCTGGTATCGCCCAACTGTGAATTCAGCCGATGTGTAAAATGCTTTCCTACAGAGCATAGTATCTGTGTGAGCGCTCATTAATCACATAACACGCCAGCGATAAGTTGTGAAAACATCCGTATAAAAATGTACACGACAGGGGGAGAGGGGGGGAAAAAAAAGCAATATCCAGCTGTAACTGTTAATGCACTTTATTGGCAGCAAAAAAAAAAAAAAAAAAAAAAAAGCTGCAGTTAAACATGCCTTGTGTTCAGCGCATTGTAATGACTCCCATAAAAAGCGAAGGCAAGAATTCCTCCGCAAACTTCTGAGCGCGGGGCACATGTGAACTGGAACCGCAGAATCAGCACCAGCCCCGGGCCCCGCCCCGCCCCGCTCCGCTTTGCGCTCGCTTTCCCACCAGCCTTAATTACCCCCCACCCCCCACCCCCCCAAACAACACCACCACCACCACCACCACCCCAAACCTCCAGCTGAATGTTATGGCCTTAAATTTTTATATTTGTTGTTCCTTGCGAAAACTTAACTACACACAAATCCCCCCCCCAACAAACTCCCATCGCAACTGCCTGGCTCTGCCCCACATCTGTTCAGCGAGCGCTTCTGGGAGGGCGGAGTGTTACCCCACCACAGTCGCCTGCTGGAGCCTCGGAGTATGGACTTGGCACCAGCGGTAGACGCAGACAGAACGGACGAGGTCCCAGCAATGCAGAGGGGCCGCTCAGCTCAAAGCTTAATTGTGTTTATCTTTCCCATTGAGACCCTTGGTGCTCAAGCTCTTTATGGTCCCCTTCTGTCAGGTTGCTAACCCAAGTGCTATGTATATAGAAGGTATGTACGGGTGTGAGGAGGATATATGAGGTATGGGTAAGGGTAGGAAAAATTAAATCTTGTCGACGGGCTTTTTTTTTTTTTTTTTTTTTTTGAAAGGCCCGTGGCAGGTCTGAAACATCCCAGAGCTGTGTCTGCCTGGAATGGAATGCATTTGCAGCAGGGTGACTGTGAAGAGGGCTTACAGTGGGCCTTGGGCGTGTTTTCGCAGCTTTCGAGAGCTTGTTCCCAGCATGCTCGGCGCTTGCTGCGCGGCATGCAAAAGCCGTTAGCGAGTCTGCTTCGCTCCGCCCCGGCTCGTTTAACTGAAGACAGATGCACCCCCTCGTATCGCGGCCCTAAATTGTTGCTTTTTGTTTCAGTGCTCCTTCAACATGCTTTTCTGGTTAGAAAATTAGACTTTGCTATGTTTCTGTCCAGCTAATCTTTCAGTGTGTCACACTCTTCTGTTCTCCACTTGCTTGGGTAACTTATGGAGAGGAAAGAGTCATCATCTTACCTCAGCACTACAAGGGCAGTTTGGCATGTTTTCCAGCAGCTTCGTGCATCACACTCTTTTGAATCTGTGTGTGTGTGTGTGTGTGTGTGTGTGTGTGTGTGTGTGTGTGTGTGTGTGTGTGTGTGTGTGTGTGGTGGGGGGGGGTGTCTAAGTAGGCTGTGCACAGAGTGTTATATTCATGTCACAGTTGTTTCTCCTCACACTGATGGTTGCACCGAGAAAATGCCCTGAAGATGTTCTTTCCTTGTTTCTCTTCCAGGGTGATGCTGGTTCATCTGCTGCTGGAATCAAGGTATGTCTAGAGCAATTATTCATCAGATGCCTCTGGAAGTTCTCCCTCTTAACCAGCAGCCCTCTGACCCCTCTCCAGAATCCTCTGCAGGCTGGTGTTTAGTTCTGCCTCTCTCTTTGTGGCTCTGACCCTCTGTGACACTTCATCTCCCCCTCTCTCTCACTCCACAGGGAGAACCGGGAGTGCCAGGCAGAGGGGGACAGAAGGTAATGCCACAAACCCGAGCCAGAGCTTCAATCAAATGCCACAGCGTAAAGCTCAGTGGAGCAGCGCCAGACCCGCCCGTAGAAGCAGGACCTGCTGCACCTTTCACAGCTTTCAATGAGCCGAGTGCCCCAGTGGCACTTAACAGGCAACAAGGATCATTCCCTGAATAAGTAACATTGTGTGATTTGAACCTTATATCAAGGATAAGCATAAAAATGTATTTAATTGATTAAAAGATACCAACTTTAACTTCCCTGTGAAAAGAATACAAGCGATTTCAAATTAACCCCAGGGAAAGTGTTGGAATGACTGGACCGACCCAGCACAGAACAGTTGGATTCCCTTTTTGATGTTGCTAAGTATGCTAAGTATGTACAACACACTTTCCTTTGGTTTATATTTCCCAGAGAACCATTCTAGGTTCTACGTGCTTTTAAACCAACCCTTTAAATCCTTCAGCCCCAGAGAAACAGCAGAGAAACAATGTATGACTGCATATGTGTGGTTCTGTGAGACTGCAGAGAGCCTAATGTCTGTGCACTAAATGCATGGGGACATTACAGACATATTTTTGTACACTTTGCCTGGTCATGATAGAATCTAATCCAGCTCTTTGCAAAAGCACTCTCCTAATGCAGCAAGCCTCACGATCAGTCTCTGCATTGCTTTGTCTGGCCTTGCTGAATTAAGAAATAGCTTTATGAAGTTAGTTGAGAGTGAATACTCAAAGTTCAGTGTCCCAAACAGCCCCTGAAACAGTTTATTACAGAATGCCAGTTCTCTCCAGCAGTGAGAGAGCAGTTAGTGTAGCATGCAGAGACCTCTGTCAAATTGCAGCTTAAATCACTTGAAATTACTCTATTTATACCAGAAAGCCGCACCCCATTAATTCTAGCTGGCTCATCTCAGCCAGACATGGTGGCTGAATTTTATACTCTTTCATTCAAGCTCTCAGTTATTCCATCTATTTGTCTCATAATCTTTTTTAATATATTTACAACCCAAACCCATTAAAGAAGTGTCATTTTCTACAGAATAATTCATTTAACATTTGGGTCTAGCTAGTGCTGTTTTCAGAAGGGTTTTTTTTTTCTTTTTCAATTTGTGTAATATTCCCCGTTCATTACATTTACATTGCATTCCTGGTGCACATTATCACTGAGCGCTAGTACATACGTTGAACCAACAAATGCATTTTGAAAGCCATTTTAAACAATTGATAGAATAGGCGTCAGAATATTTTTCCTGTCTGATTTTTCAAAATCAGATGGTAGGTTTTGCATCAATGCTCTTTCAGTTTTAGAGCTTTGAAAGAGTGCATGCCTTTTATCGTTCTTCCTCCTCATTCTGTCATTTTCTCAGCTTTTTAGTGTGTTTAAGGCAAACATCCTCAAGTGGGCAGCAGTGTAGCATAGTGGTAAGGAGCACGGCTTGTAACTGAAAGGTTGCCAGTTCGATTCTCCACTGGGTCACTGTTGTACCCTTGGGCAAGGCGCTTAACCCAGAATTACCTCAGTTAATATCCAGCTGTATAAATGGATAACATGTAAAAATTGTAACCTATGTAATTTCTCTGGATGAGAGTGTCTGCTACATGACAATAATGTAATGTGTAAAGGCACAAGATCTACAGGTGCCATATTCTAATTGCCGTGTTCTTGTATAAACCTTGGCAGAGGCAGGATCTGCAACTGCATTCCTTTTTAAGAGTTTTAAATACTAATGTGTGCTTCAATGCAAACTTGCGCCAAGATAACTGCCACTTTTTTTCTTCAGTAGCGATAGCCTAACCCTTTTGACAGCTCTTTAAAAATACATCTGGAATCAGTATCATCTTCATGCCCCTCATCATCGGTCATTCTCTCATTTTCCTTAATGACTGCAATGCTTCCATCATAATTATCCTAATTTCCATTGCCGTTATGATCATAGGTCATTATACAATAATAGCAAGTGAAAATCTCCGTCTTAATTAGTGTATGTTCTAGTGAAAGAGACTCCATGGATTCTCATGGTAGCCCCAAAGCCACTCCGGCTCAGTGGTAGCCAGGCCTCTCTCCTTATTCTCAGATGGCACAGTGGAGCGATACCCCTGAGGTTGCTGTGAGCAGCATCGTGGGGGGCTGATACCCTGAGAGTCTTGGCTCTGTGAGCTGTAGAGCACCCAATGTAATATGTCCTGCTTTTCCTGTATAGGGAGAGCCAGGACTTCCAGGGCTGCCTGGTCTTCCCGGGATTAAGGTAAATGCTGTTGTGTCTTCACCCCCGCCAACCCCCGCTTCCCCTCTCCCCAAGACCGGCCCTGCTCAGCTAACACATAACGTCTTCGCAGTGTTGTGTTCAGGTCGGCGCTATGTGACAGAAGTGTTGAGATGCCATTGTTGTGGATAGGGTAGGTTTCGTATATTTTGTGATGTTAAAGGAGACTATTATAAAACTGTGGAAGTTAGCATGGATGAACCCCTGTTTAGATATCATTCGGTTGTGTCGGTGCTCTGAAAGGAGATATATTTGTGATATTTGGGTTTGTAAAATTTTTATTAAGAGGAGATGCTGTTATGGAATAGCCAAACCAAACCTGACTTGTTGGCTTTGACGCTTGTAGACACTCTGAGAGAGCACCAGGGCTGTGGTGCCACATTATGATTATGATGATGTCAATACAGCTCAGAAGTTGTGAAGTATAAGAAATATCATCTCTATAGCCCTCTTTGATCTTCATTGCACAATGGCTAGTATAGCTCCCTCCACAACCTCCTTGGTCCTTTAATTCAACTTATGTGAATGTTTTAGCGTCACAAAGCTGTCACAAGGCTAAAGTGAAGGTTTTGGATATGTTTCCATTGGTCAAAGCTGTGGAAATAACCAGTGGTGTCAGGACAGGGACAGTGCTATGATGAGGATTGTTTTTCCAGATCTAATTGCCTTAGAGAGCTTTGATATAGCAGGATTGGCTTGAATAACAGAGACATACCAGTGGGTGGAGTTATGCATGTAGATCTCATTAGTCATATCTTTAAACATTAATGTGTGTACGTACACAAAGAATAAGTATAACATACGAGTATGTGGGGTTTGTTTGCAAGGTATTCACCTGGGCTCTTTTATTTCTTCACAGAGGGATCTAACAGGCATGAGATAATGCTTGTTGCTGTTTTGGGTTGTTTGCCTGCTCTTTTGTGTGCTTGTAACCTGTTGGCCTTGTAAAATGCTTACCGTTTTATAACCCTGATTTTATGTAAAGACCAGAATGCACTTGGGCTTCCATAATGCTGAACTAATGTGATACTCACATGTTATTTCATAGCTAAATTCTGGGGCAAATTCTTTGCATTTTGCAGCCTCCAACACATGCACAGTGGTAGCTTCTCACACCTCTTTCTTCTCGTATGTGTTGTGCCTCTTGGTTTTATTTCAGTGCACAACCTTAAAGTCACATTGCAGTTGCACTGTCTAGTAGATACTGTCCCTTTGACTGAGATGGATCAGCACAAGCTAATGATTCATAACATTCTGGGGCAAGAATTTTGAACTGGTCTGTTTGTTTCAACAAAGACATGCCATATCTCAAGTGTAAAACATGTTGATACTCCCATCTCTTCCTGTTACTTTAAGAGAAGGCCCAAAACGTTTTGCCAGCTGAAATCTTGCTTCACAGACCCTGTTTCACCGACCAAGAATGGTAATAAGCCTCAGCTAATGTACTTAAACAAACATTTGCGGGGCCACGATTAGCTTCTATTAGGACCCGAGCAGTCAGCCCTTAAACAAAAACAAGACAATCCGAGACGAAGGGTAATTTCAGTGTGCGAAACCACCAGGGAGATTTTGCGACACACATCTATCGTGCCCAGCGCATCAGCGTTTTGCCCTCTCAATGGTTTCCCAGAACGCTCTTAAATTGTATCTGAACCCTCTCATTCTTCATAGCTCCAGTTTATGTCTCTGGTATAAAGCAAACAAACAAAAATGACCTCAGAACATCACCCAAAGGCTGCCACTAGGTGGGGAAATGTTTAGACTAAGCAGATTCGGGCTAGTGGAATGACGGCAGATGGCTTAGTGGGTGGATTTGCTTCTCCTGATTAAAGCTTGGTCTGATGGTTCATTTTAGGGTGAACCGGGTTTCTTGGGCCCCCAGGGAGAGCCAGGACTGCCGGGGCTTCCAGGCACCAAGGTAGGGGCTCCGCTCGTGAGTACACCGATTCCGAGCTGGGTTCCAGGTCGTGCACGCTCCGGCTGTGCTTACACTCACTGGTGATATAATGGGAGGAAGGTATAGGTAACACTGCTTCGGTGTATAATGTGTGTACGTGCCAGATATGCCGTAGTGTGTCTGTATTCAGTGGTCCGGCTGATGTTGTGTGACGCTGTGTAGCGGTGCCCCCAAGCCCATCCAGAGCTCTGAATCATTCCTGCTGGGCACAGCTCAGTCATTAGGGGTCACACCCAGCATGAGCAATGCAGGGGCTTCTGGGTAACCTGCCATGACCCAGAGCAACAGAACCACGGGGCACTACGGGCTTAGTCATAGAATTTGGTTCCACACACACGCACGCATGCATGCGGGCACACACACACACAAACACACACACACACACACACACACTTCCGTTAACTATTGCCGATGATTTCAGCCTGTTCTGATAAGTATCATTTCGGGGGGGGGGGTCTGTCAAAGCAGTGGGCAGAGATGGCCAGACATTTTGATACCATTTCTATCCACTCTGTACCCTCACTGTGTGACACAAGAAATCTGTGGCAATTCAGGCAATGCACCTAAGGTGCTTTGAGCACATGACCTTTGGATGGAGCTCTAAGCAGTATCCCATCACCTAGGTGAAAGTGCCCCTGATTTAAAGTTACACAGCCTCATTAGAGCAGTAGTCCTGGTCTGTCCATGGAGGTGGACTTAAATGGCAGTGTCGTCTAACGCCGCGGTGCAGCCGGTATGAGATCAGCGTCCGGGTGAGGGGGCGGGGTCAGCGGCAGTGCCGTCCGCCTGCAGCTAAAGCCCGCGCGGTGGTGAGGTGTGCCCGCCCCGAAACACAGCACGGTAATCGCTCTCTTCGCGGTCGCGCCGCCGTCCGCCGCGGCGGCCCTGCCATTTCTCAGCGTGATTTACGAGCTCCAGCGGCGTGCGGACTGGAGCGTTTCCGCCCCGGGAATCGAGACGGCAGCGCGGGGAGAAACGCAGAGTCCCGGAGAAGCTGCTGAATGATACTGCTCTTCCACTCCGGAGGAGTCCAGAGCATGGAGACGAAGGGATGAAGACTGGTGAAACACTGCCCCCTGCTGTTCATTCCACAAACTGCCCTTCAGATCTATTAATATAAACATGGTCAGAGCACGTACTCTACTGTGAACAGACTACAGTGCTTTCCAAACAGGACATTATGGATGTATTGCAGTTCGCTGGTTGATACGGAGATGGTGATCACGCTGGTGTCCCAGTCTGGACTGTGCGTGGGTACTGAGGGAAGAGTTTGTCAGTGAGTGTGTCAGTTTTAGTATGAGAGAAACCAGGGTCTCGCACCTCGTTTGAGGACATGTCTGTCTCTGCAGGGAGAGCGCGGGGAGACGGGGCCGCCAGGGAAGGGAGAGCGAGGGGACCCGGGACCCGCGGGACAGAAGGTCAGTGTGACGGTCACTCTGTGGCTTCAGCTGGGCGGCTGGCAAAGGACACACACCAGAGCGAAGAAAGGTCCCTTTCAAACGCGGCAGCGCTGTGGTTTGGAGTGGCATTCCACACGCTGATATGAAACAGGGAGAAAAAGGAAGAACGAATCATTTCTGAAACATTTGCCGCTTATGACCTCAACCATGAACAACCCTCACAAACATTGGACAGGTCCTGCTGTTGCTCACTATGGGAAAGTAGTGGGTCAATTTGAGCAAGGCTGCCCTCTGGTGACATGTAGATACACAGCATTTATCAGATTCCCAGATGATAAAACATTAATTTACAGATTAGCTTCGCAGTAACTCTTATTCATGGTGAATTTCAGTGTCCTCCTCCAGACCATGCATGTGAGAAAGTGACTTTTCTGATAACTGAAATCTTTTTCTTAGTCTTGTTATGATGGGTTAATGCTTGAGATTAACGCAAGCTCTGTGAAAGGAAGTGTGATGAGTTGAAAAAGAATGGAATGATTGATTTGTCCCCTCATCAGTTCTCATGAAGCCAGTGGAAAACAGCAAACCTCTCCCCTTCTCCTGCTCTATTTGGCTTATAGATAGTACTCCTTGTGCCCAGCCTCTTCTCGGTTTGAGTCTTTGATTGAACTTCATATAAACAGAGGCTGAAAGTACACCAGACCAATTAACAATAGACAATGAAGCCAATTTCCTAACACTGAGCATTCCAGAACAGTGCCATGTGATTTAGCATTCCAAAAGTTTAATTAATATGCAACGGAGCATTCCAGAAGAGTAAAATTGTAGTACAGCATCATCAGGGTCTTCTACTTTTATGGTG